ATTTTTTATATTTTTTATATATATATTTTATGATGTGGGCATCTTATATAATTTAAAAGCTTTTACTGTAAATCAAGGTTCGACCAGTTAAACGGTGTTAAGCTCAGTCAGCTGAGTAAAGCAAAATGATCTGTTACCGATTACCACTGGAGCCTATGATGCCCACACCTCTACTTCATGGCTGGTGAACACGGCATCCAGTCTCCATAGGTTATCTCTGACCAGCAATGCAGTATAATATGTGCCTGTGTGTCTATTTTTACGAGCTTTTAGTAGGGACGGCGGGGACTATTTTTTTTCTGCTCCTGACTGCATGTCTGGATCTGCTGAATGCTGATGCGGCAAGTGACAATTACTTTTAAAAATACAAAGAAGTATTGTGCCCACTGAGGCGGCAAAGCAGAGAGTGAATTGGCTAATTAAATACATCCAATGCTGAACCGTCAAGGGGTTCTCATTTCCTTTCTGCCCTTTCTCCACAAGTGCAAATGAAGTAGGCTCTAAATAACCCATTTGTTTCAAGCCCGCTGAGCAGAAGGAGCTACTCCGCATTACTGGCTGCTGCTGCTGTTTTGAACACACCAATAGACAGTCACCCAGAAGCCTTAAGGAGTTGCAGGCACTCTTTGTCTTTCTCCCCCTTGATGATAGACAATGGAAGTGTCAAATTAAAAGTTTTTTGGGCCGTTACACCGCCGTGTGTTGACACAGTGCAGCTCATTAGCCTTTTCAGACAGTTATCTCGTGAAAAATATCAGTCTGAACAAAGGTCTACTCCATATTCAGACACAGTCATTACTTGTCCATGGTTGCAGGACACTTTTTGCTTGCTCTTCTTTTACACGTGTACAGTAGATACAAGGAACAAAGGGAAATGATATCCAACTGCAGCCAAATGGATGCCATAGTTGTGCATTGCTTCAGATTTCCTACGAGGGTATCGTCGCTCTGTGGGGTAGTGCTGCGTGGTTGAAGAGACGTCTCTGTCATCATGACTAAACTTATCACCTAAATCTTGGTGTTTGTCCACATAATAATCCACACTACATTTGTTGGCCGCTCCTTTCTTGGTGAGTAAAATCCTGCAGCAGTGATTCAAACCTAAAGATCTTGAACTGAAAAATGGTTCAAGAAAATTCAAATACACTCGAACTTATTAAACAGACTTTGAAATGTTTTCATAACTCTGAGAAGAGGTTGTACTTTAGGCATGCTAAAAAAAGGAATCAGAAGTTGAGACAATTCATCCTGGAGGGTTATAAGTTTTATGGCAATCCATATAGTAGTTGTCAAGACATTTCATATAGAACCACAAATGTCACCCTCATGGTGGTGCAGGGGATCACCAGTACTATTAGGATTTATCATCTGGGAACCATGAATGTCTATACAAAATGTAATGGCAACTCATCCAATAGTTAAGATATTTGATTGTTGAACGAAGTGGTGGACCAACCAACATTTCCATCCCTGGAGCCACGCAGTTAGCGTGGCTAAAAGAATCACAATAAAAAATTTAACATGTTTAACGGTCAAGAAGTTTCTCAAGGTTGTCATTTTGGAGAGTGTTATATTTTACTTGACATTGCTAATCCGGTTCTCTAATACTGGTACTAAACTACAACTCGAAGCATCTCTACACCTGGAACTCCCTGATTCCTCTATAACTTTTCTTGCATTGGAGATAAATGTCCATTAAAACCACAGGTGACATCACACATATGGAGTGATCAGGTTTACGAGCGCCACAGTATGAATTTCAAATTGGATTTTCTAGGCCTTTGCATTTGCTAATGTGTTTGATATTATTTTCGGATTAAGCGAGACAGCGATGTGTGAGATTACAACATGGCCACTGTAGAAAGAAAGAGAGCATTTTGGGAGAGGTCAAGCCATAAAGCTTGTCTCATCTCTGAGAGGAAATGAGGCATTAGATTGAGTTCCCGTTTTAGTCACCCAAGCCTAATGGGTCATCTATCCTGAGAATCTTGGAGTCATTCTGAGAATCCCAGAATCTTTGCTCTCTTTTCTTCTTTTCCGGAGTTGCTGTAAAGGTGATAAGTAAAGACAAAAACACAATATTAAAGTCAACTTTGTTATATCAGTAGTGTTCACGCTATTGTTTTGGTGTTCTGGTCTGATTTGAGAATACTGCACTATGACCCTACCCTCACCTCACCTTGCATCATCAAATTGATTCTCTTTCTGTATTTTACTTTATGGCTTTTGCACTTGAGAAGCCAAACACCTACAATAAAGGGCTGAATTGAGTTTTTCAGAATGAAAATATATTACCTTCCAAGATTTCCTTGTATGACTTTCCATTGTAAAGCTTTATTGATGTTCGATGCAAAGAAACTCAGTTTGTCTTTTGAAAGCCTTTCTGTTGGACCCTTTGACACAGACTGAGATAATTCACCATTGGATGGACTGCCATGGAATCTTGATGACATTCATGATCTCCAGAGGATGAATTCTAATGACTTAAATTTTATCTCTAGCACCATCAGACTGCCATGTTAAACCGCCATGTTTCTACAGAACCAAACCAAACACTAGCTGTAGAAGTTTCACAGCCACCATAGTTTCTCCTACACACTTTCACAGCCCGCTCTCATTCCCAGGTTGTCAAATACAGACGCCAACAGTGTTCAGTTAGTTGCAATCTGAAACCTAACCACTAGATGCCACTAAATCTTACTCTGGTCCTTTAAGTGCTAACACAGTACACATTGTTATTGTGAGCATGCTGATGTTATTAGCTCAAAACACTAAAGTGTCCAAGTAATACAGCCTTGAAGAGCTGATAACATGGCTCAGTCTGGTTTCACTGTTATCTCCCCTCTAGCTTCACTTAATTACCCCATAACTCGAACAACCACCATACCCCCTACACCCATACCTCGGCCTTTCTCTCCCCATGCAACTCCCCATCTTGGATTTCTTACAAGGCAACCAGGCAAATCAGTGGCACCTTCAAGGGCTTATTAGTTTGTGTATTGGTTTCAGTGGCAGCATGGACAAAATCACGCCAAACCTTCAAGCAGTCACAAGCTACAGAGTCTTCCTGCTCCTCGGGAAGAATGACACAGCTGCCTCAGCAAGCATGAGGCAAAAAAACCCCAACTCAAAACAGACATTTAGAAAGCACTTTTTGGAACTTTTAATGATTGTGACAATGGCAATGATTGACAGATAGAAAACTGCTTACTGTCACGAGTGTGTGAATGCAGTATGTAAGAAGGAAACTTGTCAAATGCATCAGCAATATTTCTGTTGTTTAGGTTGCAGAATACACATTAGCTTTTGATTTTCAAATGTGATGTAAAACCTTCCTTCTAACTTTGGAAGGAAAGTGTGGTGGTAGTTGGGCAGACAGGGACGGACTGAGTTGAAAGCTCTGGTGTGACAGGCAGGAGACATTTTGAGCTGACAGCTGACAGAGGAGATGGAAGCTCCGCTGGAAGTGGGGTGATAGGATGCCGTTTCTGCTGCTACTGCAGCTTGATATCTCCTCCAGCCCGAGGGAAGATGAATCGAGTGCTGCTTCCGAATCTAGAGACAGAGCAGCTTCTGCCTCACTGTCGGGGGGCAAAATGCTTATCAGCGGTTATGTTCGGCATGTATTATGGGGAAATAAGCAGTTAAGTTTCCTGTAGTAGCTAATCCGCGCTCCTGGGGGAGATACGGAGTGTGTGGGCTTGCATTCTAGAAAACCTTGATTCAAAATGAACAAAATGCTTTTTACAGTTAAAAGCTGGGCATACAATTAAAAAAGAAATAGAATAAACCAAAATTAAATATGAGTTTTTAAGAGTAGCCAGTGGCTCCAATTAACCACATCTGGCAGATTACACACTTTTGTTCCAAAATTGAGATTTAACTATTTAACAAAGATAGATCATTCAGCTTTGTCCCATGAATGAGGTGACAGCT